TGGAATGGCACCCAGGCTAACATTTTGGGGACTCATAGGTACTTGTGGGGACCACCCATAAGGAAAGTTTCTCTTCTTGGGGTGGGGGTTAGGTTTAGGACTAAGGTGTGAATTGAGTTTAGGTTAGGTTTAGGGATAGGTATGTGTCGGTAATGGTTAGGGTTAGGGCAAGGTTCACGGTTAGGTAATATAAATTAGTGGGAAATGAATGGAAGTCAATGGAAGGTCCCCACAAGTATATTGTGACACAACATGTGTGTTTGTGTGTGTGTGTGTGTGTGTGTGTCTGTTTCCATCTGGACTGCTACGATCCCATGAGTGTTGGTTTATGAGCCCTAACCCTGTGGAGGCACAGCTGTATCAAATGTCACTGTACTCCAGGACTGATATAAAACATTCCCTAACGATGCAGATGGAACTTCAAATTTAACATCACCTTCAGTATTCATGCAAAAAAACAACTTTGAGAATTTAGCTAAAAATTACAATCACACGTCTAATGCACTCAATAGTATTTTTTAATTGTGCCTATTAAGTTTAAATCCAGGGATTATTTTTTCTTTCTACAATACATTTTCTGTATTTTCCAAAGTGGTTTTTCATCTTTATTCTAAGCACTCTATTGGTTGATGGTTCAAAGCTTGAGTCTGCTCTGCCATATCATCAGGTTGACATATACAGGCTAACAGACATTTAAGAGCTGATTATTATTCATAGTAATGTCTTGTTCTGCTGGCAATGCACTGAGAAATTCATTCCCAGTTACCAGCTCTCAGACTTTGATATTTATTCAACTCCAGAGGGGTTCCTTCAGTGGGCAGCATTATTGCTCCTCTGAAGGAGGCATTTTTAGAAAGCTTTTGACTTTAACTGTGACAAAGGTATGTTTTCAACAAATTCCAGGCTTCCTTAAAACCTCTCTTCTCTGTATGGAGTTTGCAGCTTGGTGTAGATCTGCTGTGGCATCAAAGAAGTCAAGCAAATCAACTTATTTCAATAGAAAGAAAAGAAGAGGTTTGGCTGCATTGATATTTTGCTAACTATATCTGAACATTTTAGACCTGAAGAACATTGAAGATGAAAATTTTAAAGGCTGGTAGTAGCATTTGTTTATTGTAAAAGTTTTGGTGGAGAACGTTGCCTGGACCATTTGGGCAACCATGATCAGACCTCATTGGATTTAGTTCTTTTAACTGAATGTTTCATTGTGAACCTAATTTCTGTGTCTGCATACTTTTACATAATGATGATGAAGATAGTCTATTGCTTGTTGCAGGTGGGAGACCAAATCCTGGAGGTAAACGGTCAGAGCTTTGTCACCATCTCCCATGATGAGGCAGTGAACATCCTCAAGTCGGGGCACCAGCTGCTGCTGAAAGTGCGGGATGTGGGCCGTCTGCCTCATGCACGCGTCGTTGTAGACGGGAGCAGATGGAGCTGCGGTCAGATCATAGCTGAGACCAATGCAACAGCTGCCATAAACTCTGCCTCAAATCCCAGCATTGGTGCTGGGGTTCATTCAGGCAATGCTGCCAGTGGCCACACTACAAGGCAAGTCCACTAAACTGTCAATACATCAAACACAAACAAGGAGCATATTTTGGCTAAACTCAGAGAATTAAAAGCTTTCATTTTAATCACTATGTGTGAAGGATGCATCTAAATTAGATTGGATTAAGACTGGAAGTGGCTCGAAGCAAATTCACAACAACAAAAAACATTATGAATGATTCCTGAAATGTGCTCATTGGTTCCTTCTTCTAAACCATTACAAACTGGATCAAATCCAATAGATTTGGTTGGTTTCACTGATGCCAAATAGTCCAAATACTGTACCCTAATATTATTGGTTCAAAACATCGATTTTACAAATAAATAAAGTGGGAAAAAATACATTTAGATCGACTTGATTGTCCACAGGAATCATCAGTCCCCAAACTCTGACCCAGCCCCACATGATGCACAGATACAGAACTTTGCTGACCTTTGGAGGCTGTTCTATTACCAGCAAACTTTATTTTCCTTTAATAGGTGGCGGTATTAATTAATGGTGACATCCCTGTCCATGATAATCTACAGTCGCTCCACTTGAGCAGCATCTAGAGACAAATACAGTGTTGGAACTGTTCATTATTCCAGCCACGCTGTGTATTGCACCAGTTCTTCTGATAGCTGAACTGACCTTCAGCATAATGGCGTCATCACCGTGCTTCTCTAGTGGAACAGAAATCTCACCTCGACGGATCTAATCATGCACCTTGGCATTATGACAAAATACTTTAGTGTTTGTTGTTTCTAGTTCTAGTCTTCTTAAGGACGAGGTTCCTGTTTCTTCATCTTTTTTATTTTGTCCATTATATAATATAATATAATATAATATAATATAATAGAATAGAATAGAATAGAATAGAATAGAATAGAATAGAATAGAATAGAATAGAATAGAATAGAATAGAATACTCTATCAGGTAGGCAAGATTCAAGTGTTTCAGTGGATGGCAGGAAGGCAATAAAGTATCCAGGTTCACATACAATTATAAAATAAAATCAAAATACCAGGTAATAAAAAATGTGCATGTTCAGGAAAAAAGTGCTGAAGATAAGAAGAAAAACTGTTTATTTACAGATAAAATAAAATAAAAATGGTGCAAGAAAAAAATATGACATAATATTTATCTTTATTATAAAACTACTACTGAGGACCATTTCTAATATAGTTTGATGGAGCAGCGTCTTATCCACAGCTATAAGGTACTATAAACTAGGGTTGTCACGATACTAAACTTTTCAACTCGATACCGATACTAAGTAAAATATTCGATACTCGATACCCTTTTTCGATACCACAAGGATAAAAACAAAGACTCCAAAATTCAACAGAAATTAATTGCTGGAGACCTCCTTCAGTAAAAGACTGCTGCGCAGGAGACACACAAGAGATAAATTGGATGCTTCCTTCAGCATCTCTCAGACTGACAACCATCATTGCTCCTAACAAACCAATCAGATGTTTGCTGTGCTACTATAAGAAAGAAAAAAAACAACCTTAAACAGAGGGGGTGGAGTCAGATTTTAGCTTTCAAAAACCTACAATTCAGCAATAGAGTTGATTCTTTCCCCCTATCATGGCAACCCCCACACCCATACAGGGGAACAGAAGACCTCGCCTGTTTAGTCAGGCCAACTATACCCCTAACGACCCCCCCTTCAGAGACATAGACAATTATCGGGTATTACAGGCTAACAAAGAACCCAAATGACTGCACATTCCTAAGGTGTGGACTCATTCATCAGTTTCAATTTGCATTTTTTCTTAAAAGAAACAAGCCTTTGTTGGGCTACTCTATAAAGCCTTGAACTCAACACTATTTGGGACATTTTGAATTGAAAAAGCTTCCTGGATGGGAAGCAAAACGTCTTCGAACTTGGAGACAAAGTCCAGTGGATTGTTTTTTAAGATTTTTTAGAATGACTTTGACCTGGATGACTGATCTTCACCAGCATACTCTGCTGCTGTTCTTCCAAACCATCAAATCTTAAGCATAGTTNTCCACAGCTATAAGGTACTATAAACTAGGGTTGTCACGATACTAAACTTTTCAACTCGATACCGATACTAAGTAAAATATTCGATACTCGATACCCTTTTTCGATACCACAAGGATAAAAACAAAGACTCCAAAATTCAACAGAAATTAATTGCTGGAGACCTCCTTCAGTAAAAGACTGCTGCGCAGGAGACACACAAGAGATAAATTGGATGCTTCCTTCAGCATCTCTCAGACTGACAACCATCATTGCTCCTAACAAACCAATCAGATGTTTGCTGTGCTACTATAAGAAAGAAAAAAAACAACCTTAAACAGAGGGGGTGGAGTCAGATTTTAGCTTTCAAAAACCTACAATTCAGCAATAGAGTTGATTCTTTCCCCCTATCATGGCAACCCCCACACCCATACAGGGGAACAGAAGACCTCGCCTGTTTAGTCAGGCCAACTATACCCCTAACGACCCCCCCTTCAGAGACATAGACAATTATCGGGTATTACAGGCTAACAAAGAACCCAAATGACTGCACATTCCTAAGGTGTGGACTCATTCATCAGTTTCAATTTGCATTTTTTCTTAAAAGAAACAAGCCTTTGTTGGGCTACTCTATAAAGCCTTGAACTCAACACTATTTGGGACATTTTGAATTGAAAAAGCTTCCTGGATGGGAAGCAAAACGTCTTCGAACTTGGAGACAAAGTCCAGTGGATTGTTTTTTAAGATTTTTTAGAATGACTTTGACCTGGATGACTGATCTTCACCAGCATACTCTGCTGCTGTTCTTCCAAACCATCAAATCTTAAGCATAGTTTAATATATCACAAACATACTAAATTTACATCTTTTCATGCATGTATAGCTTTATTGCTATATAGAAATTCTAGGAAATCTTTTTTTTCAGTTTTGAAAGAATCCTTTTATTCTATTCTCTTCTATTCTATGGATCTTGCAGCTAGGAACTGTTCAATTAAATCTTTACTTACATAGAAAGTTTTGATAAAGCCAGCTGAAAAAGATGTTTTCCCAAATGTTCCACCAGATGCCTCTAGAGCTCCAAACCACCACACCTGCTGGTCCCAAACCCCTCTCTGCCTCAGTTTCTGCCCAAATATGGAGATACAGATTGTTTTACATTTCTAATGTTACCTAAGTTGAGAATAATGCAAGTTATGTTACATCTTCAAACCTGGTTATACTCCATCTTTAAAGCTGTTGACAGTGTTGTTCTACTAATACTATAGCTATAATTTCATGTGACGTTTCTTCCTCTTGCAGACCCTCTTCTGCCAGAGCTACACCTGTATTTGGGAAGGTGAGAAAGTTCCTTTCTAACTGAGCTCTCTGCGCAATGTTGACCTCAAACTGCAAAAATTTAAATCTTAAGTCGTTTTTCTTAAAATGAGTGCATTTTTCTTGAATTGAGCAGCTAAATGAGATACTTTGTTAGTGGAACACATACAACTTACATTTAAAATAAGAAAACAACAATAGCATTTTCTTATTTCAAGACATATAGATTATCTTATTTTGAGAGTAAAAATGCTCATTCCATTGCCAAATCATCATAATAACCTACAAAAATTAAGGGTAAATACACTTAATTTAAGAAACTTTTACTCATTTTTTTAATCAAAGTGCGAATCTGCAAACATCTGTGGAGAGGATATAAAAAAACAGAAAGGAAGAAAACATCTGCTGACATTGGTCTGGACTCAGGTGGAGTTAGATGATTCTCTTTTAATTGGGCAAAATGTGTCATGTCTCCAGTTTCCCAATGCTCTGAGGAGTTAGCATTAGCTGCTCTCCATAACAACACAGTTCTCTGCTGAAGGGGCTGATGGTTTGTTTTGATTTTTAATCTGCATGACTTTCATGTTATCAAGGACTGCATATTGTCAGAGTATTTATTTGATGTGTGAGGTTAAAGCAAACAGCTTAAACCTCTGTAAAATGTTCACACCAGCACACATTAAGCCAGTCCTGTGACGCTACAGTGCCAGATGCGTAGGAAAATTAATTTGCAAACTCTTATAGAATTTAGGTTGATTAGTCTGGAAAGTCAAGATGCTTTTCATTCCTCTTATTGCTCTGTCTGTTGTTCCTTATTCTCAGGCAGCACTAAACATCCCTGCCTTCCAATATGCATTCATTAACCTTGAGTGGAGAAAAAGGCTTTCTCTTTAATGGCCTTTTATTCTGACATTTATAATGTCAGAATAAAAGGCCTTTGTGAGGTTATTATGACATTTGAAATGTCAGGTTTTACTGCAGCAAAACAGAAGTTTGCCATCCAACATCCATCCATCCATCCATCCATCCATC